GCGCACGGTCACTTCGCGGAGCTCCTCCACACTGCGGCTTCGCTTCTGGCGGAGATCAGCCCCGCACTCTCGCTGGCTTGTGGAAGGTGACTCTGCCGCCATTTTGCAGCAGGCGGAAAACTCGGGGGCGCAGCCCGTGCTTTCGGCCGCCATTTGTCATTGGTGCAGAGCGCACAGCCCGCCAAAATTGAAGACGCGCCATCGGTGCCGATGGACATCCCAGCTCTCCGACGGTGACTTCCCTTCATTAAGGGGTTGGCGGCTACCATTGGCGACTGGGTGGCCTTCAAGCGGCGATTCCTCACAAATGCCGACCTGGCGGGATGAACGGAGGCGGAGGCGCTACATGCGTTGCCCGCCGCCCTCGATGACGACGCCAGAAAGGTCCACCCTCACGCAGGCCTTCAACCAGATGGATTTATGAGCCTCCGGCGAATATGCACCACAAATTTGCCACGCGGCGGAAGGGGGAGAATGAGTCAGCCCTCGCCTTCCGTATCACGCTTTTGGTGTCGTGAAAGCCGCGTTCCCTAAAATGGACGCGTTGGTCCTCGAGAAACTGCTGGCATTAGCGAAATCCCTCCAAACCATCCTTCCAGCTGAGGATGGTGATGTCTCGTCTCTTCAGGTCGCTAGATGCATCCAAGCCCAGCAATTTCTGCAGCAGGACAGGGCGCTGGTGACGTGTGCCATGTCCCGTATGGAGCCGGAGCCGTCGGATGGAGCGGAGCCCGTGTCGGCATATGCGTCGATCCGGGGTGGTGGCGACCAGGGTGATGGGGATGCACGACAGACAAACGAGCAGCGGCAGCCAAGATCCTCATCTTGTTCCAGGGATGGCCATGTTACCTGCTACAATTGAGGCCTCCCGGGGCACGTGTCATCGGGCTGCCGCGTACCACGACAGCGCATCCCGGCATCACTGCCATCCTATGCTCCCCTGCACCCTAAGGCGAGTCGCGATGCACTCCACACTTGACCCCTGGCCTCACCTCACCCATCTAGGCAGTTCGGTTCACGTCCCGGTCGTGCGGGGGTGAGGGGGAGTCCTACGCGTAATCGTAGGATTCGTCCACTGATCCGGTCGGAGCTGGCCCATCGAGTGGTGGCCGCGGGTTCATCTGCCGTGCTGGGGTTTATCGAGGGTGTTTTGCCACCAACGGCGGCTCATTGGGCATTATCGGTTGGATAACGGCCGAGATGCGCATCGCTGACGTTAAATTGTCAGGACACATCCTGGTCTCCGCATCCCTGGCTGTTCCATGTTTGCTTGGAACCGATTTCCTTGGTAGGATGCCCGTGAAAATCCGCATTGACCCTGGCTGTTTGGAATTGCCTTCCGGCCGTTGCATGGCATTTTTGCCTTCTCCCACTCAGTTGTGTGCGGCCAACGCTACGGTGCAGGCGCTCGCGCGGCGAACGGTGAGCATCCCTCTCGGCGCGCAGATGTTGGTTCCTTCCCGCTTGAGGAAGCCACTCGATTTGGTGGCTACGGAGAACGGTATTGTCTTGGGACCTACCAACAAGGTCAGTCACGGGCTGACGTTGGTGGCAGCCCAAACATTGGTATCTAACAACCAGGAACCCTTTATTCAGGTTCTTTATGCTGGGTTGGACACCACGGTCATCCAGGAGGGTACGGTGTTGGCTCATGCGTTGCTGCCACGTCTGGATGGGGGCGTCATTAGAATGTGGGTACTGAGTCTCATGCACGACAATCCCATGATGTGGATGAAAATTTGATTGACAAATTGTGCACTGAAAGTGGTACCTTGTCCGCGGATCAGATGGGGACGTTGCGGATGCTCTTGCGTGAATTTTCAGATATTTTCAGCAAAGGTAAATTCGATATTGGGCGGACGTTGCTCCTGAGTCACCACGTTGATACGGGCGACGCGGCCCCTATCCGACAGAATCCCTACCAGCTGAGCCCGGTGGAGAAGAAACATGTTCGACTGGCGGTTGATGAGATGTTGGCCGCAGACATCATCTCACCATCCACCAGTCCCTGGGGAGCTCCGATTGTGCTTGTAAAGAAGCTGGTGGGTACATTGCCTAAATGACTACAACCCTGGTGGGGGCTGGTCGATGTCGTTCGGGTTGTTCGACCACAGTGTGTCCAGATCAACTTCGGTCGGTGGAGTTGGTTCGTACATCCCTCTTGCCTGAATCATCGCAGGTCCCTAGTGCGGAGGATCCGTCGATCCGGCTACTGCTCTCTGTGAGGAGCCGGGATATTTGCACATTCCCCCTGGGTCCTTCAGGGTGAGCGAGCCTACCTCCCTTGGGGGCCCGGCATCACGGACTCGCTCAAAGACTCGGTTTTCATGATCCTCTTGCACACACGCTCCCACGCTGTTGGCTGCTTGTCGCGCTTGCTGAGTCGTGGCGGTCATTGGCTGAACCTGGCAGCCATCGAGCTTGTGAGCGTTGTTACATGGCGAAGGTGGAAGGTGTGATGGTATGGGGTATCCCGTGGTTTTCACGTTTTCTTATTTTATTGTTGCTCTGTTGTTATGGGTTCATTGGTTTCCACCCTACTCCCTGTTGGTTTGTACATTTGTACATAGTGTCATTTTTGTACAGGTGGGTTGGGTATTTATTTCTGTTCTTGTTATTGTTAATGCACACTGTGTTTTTTTGCTCATTGCATCTCACTTATTGTTCGTTGAGGGGGGAGTTGACAGCCGGAACGACTGGATGCTACGAAGGGGGGGGGGGGTGATGTAGTGACATCGGGGATGTCACTGTATGGTGCCGGCCCGGAAAGGTCGTGCAGTTCGATGTTCCTACATCGCGGACAGCGCCGTGTGGGTGGCTGTGTGTGACACCAGCCCTAGCAGGGACAGCGCCGTGTGGGTGGCTGTGTGTAATACCAGCCCTAGCGGGGACAGCGCCGTGTGGGTGGCTGTGTGTAACACCAGCCCTAGCGGGGACAGCGCCGTGTGGGTGGCTGTGTGTAATACCAGCCCTAGCGGGGACAGCGCCGTGTGGGTGGCTGTGTGTAATACCAGCCCTAGTGGGGACAGCGCCGTGTGGGTGGCTGTGTGTAACACCAGCCCTAGCGGGGACAGCGCCGTGTGGGTGGCTGTGTGTAATACCAGCCCTAGCGGGGACAGCGCCGTGTGGGTGGCTGTGTGTAACACCAGCCCTAGTGGGGACAGCGCCGTGTGGGTGGCTGTGTGTAACACCAGCCCTAGCAGGGACAGCGCCGTGTGGGTGGCTGTGTGTAACACCAGCCCTAGTGGGGACAGCGCCGTGTGGGTGGCTGTGTGTAACACCAGCCCTAGTGGGGACAGCGCCGTGTGGGTGGCTGTGTGTAACACCAGCCCTAGTGGGGACAGCGCCGTGTGGGTGGCTGTGTGTAACACCAGCCCTAGCGGGGACAGCGCCGTGTGGGTGGCTGTGTGTAACACCAGCCCTAGTGGGGACAGCGCCGTGTGGGTGGCTGTGTGTAACACCAGCCCTAGCGGGGACAGCGCCGTGTGGGTGGCTGTGTGTAACACCAGCCCTAGCGGGGACAGCGCCGTGTGGGTGGCTGTGTGTAACACCAGCCCTAGCGGGGACAGCACCGTGTGGGTGGCTGTGTGTAACACCAGCCCTAGTGGGGACAGCACCGTGTGGGTGGCTGTGTGTAGCACCAGCCCTAGCGGGGACAGCGCCGTGTGGGTGGCTGTGTGTAACACCAGCCCTAGCGGGGACAGCACCGTGTGGGTGGCTGTGTGTAGTACCAGCCCTAGCAGGGACAGCGCCGTGTGGGTGGCTGTGTGTAACACCAGCCCTAGCGGGGACAGCGCCGTGTGGGTGGCTGTGTGTGACACCAGCCCTAGTGGGGACAGCACCGTGTGGGTGGCGGTGTGTAATACCAGCCCGAGCGGGGCTTGGCGAGCACTGGGATAGTACGGGCACCACACACAGTGTGTGGTGGGGGCTCCCCCGAGGGGTAGGGGGTATCAGCCCAGGGGCAGGGTTGCCCTGGGCCGTGGCACTCTGGTTGACCCCGTAGACACGTGATCCGGAATGTCCACACAGGGGGCCCCAGGTGAGGGGACTAGTGGGTGATCACGTCTCCGGAGAGAGCTCTTGAGAAGGATCGAGAGGGAATGAGAATGTTCGGGAAGGCAGGCGGGGCCCAGGGCGGAGCGGCCCCGACCGGAGAGGGATATAAAGCGGGTCCCTGAGAGGAACCTGTGTCTCTTCGTGCTACAAGCTGGAAGCTCAACATCTACAAGCTGGAAGCGCTGCGTCTCAAACTGGAAGCGCTTTGTCCTACGAGGGACCACGTGGTCGGAGACCCGAGTGAGGGTCCGACCCTTCGTAGCAGTAACTCCCAGAGGTGTGGACTCGAGTCATGTGACTTGGACTCGAGTCAGACTCGAGTCATGAATTTGATGACTTCAGACTCGACTTGGACTTGCATGACAATGACTTTGTCCCACCTGTGAGGTGTGGACTCGAGTCATGTGACTTGGACTCGAGTCAGACTCGAGTCATGAATTTGATGACTTCAGACTCGACTTGGACTTGCATAACAATGACTTTGTCCCACCTCTGGTAACTCCCCTGTATAATGTAATTAGCTGGGTGGTCACCACCCTAGGTTGTGTCTGGTAAAGGCGCAGTTACCCGTTTGTGTTACGGTGTTACAAATAAAGGTGTTGCCTCTAAAAGGAATAACGTCTGCGACTCAGTTGGACTCACGACAACTGTATGAGTTTACAAAGAATCAAAGATGATTCAGCAAAAAAATGTATATGAATGCGAGCATGTGAACAGCAGGTGAAATTTTATTTGTTAATGACTCCAACATTGTTACGCATTTTTCGGTGAGATTGCCTACTGTAACTCTGAACGCTTTAAAAATATATAAATTAATATGCCACTATATTTTTTAAGCATTTAATAATGCTTTAAGAGAATAAATAATGAACATCGCCTCTCATTTGAAATATTGATATCCCCGGTATCTTCATTGCTTTAATGCGTGTTCACATTTCCACAGTTGCTCTGATCTGCTGAGATCTTAATTTTCACGGCTGCAGGAGTACCCTTCACTGGGCATGCTCGGCGACGCACTGAATGAAAACAACATCAAGCTCATATTCGCCGTCAGCAGAACCCAATATGAACTCTACCAGGTAGAGTATCCAATGTTGTACGTATGTATGTTGAACTTTTTTTGCACAGTACGTAGCCAACCATGCTAATCAGAGGTGCGGTGGAAGGACAACAAACTAAACACAAAGCAGTTCTAAAGAAATTAGTTTTCAATCTAGATTTAAAAGTGCATAGCTCCAGTGGCTTCCTAATATCAGAAGGAAAAGCATTCCAGACGGCTGCAGAACTCATCTGAAAGCGCTCGATGCAGTGGCCATCTTTGTTCAACGGCTAGCCAAAAGCCGCTGCGAGGATGACCAGAGTCCCCGTGATGGTTTAGGCTCCTTGACGAGATCAGTAAGGTATTGTGGTTGCCCGTTATTCCATATGGATCACTCTGATGTTCTTGTTCTCTGCTGATGCACCACAGGTTTCTCCCTTGCAAACATAACTGGATAACTGGCTAAATGGGACTTTCCATGTAACAAATATACATTCATTTATTAATTGATATTTACAAGAACCCAACCAAATACATAATGAGCAAAGGGGCACACTCCTCGTGTAATGATGCGGTCTTCTAACATATAAAGAATGTCAGTCACTTTTTATATTCAGTGGTCATCCTATGGAGAGACTGCCCCCCACCAAGGGAATATGGAATTTCCATCAATGATTCACGACCACCAATAAATATGATCACAACCCTATTGCTCGTTTATTCGTGACACTTTGGTTTTTTTATTTTTTGTTCGACTGCTGAGTCTGTTTAGATTCAATTTAAAATGAAACTTAAGGAAATTAGCAGTGGGGTACAGGAACCAACTGAAAACACCTACTCTTCCTCCTCATCATCATCAATAAAACTCCCCTAGAACAGAAACAAAAAACATCTAGTGAGGTAGCACTCTCTTTCTACTCTTTTCAGAGTAGAAAGAGAGTATATTTAGGTTATTTAAAGGACGCCATATTCAAACTCCACTTCCACATTTACTTGATCCAAGTATAACTCTGACTTTGTCTCCTTTCATCATTGCAGAACTACTCAAAGCTGATCCCTGGCTCAACGGCTGTTGTTCTAGAAACCAGGTCACATATCGTACCGAACCTTATCCTCAACATGTACAGGGTGAGTGATGGCGCTGCACAGGGACATAGCTCCACAATTGGGTTTACCTGTCATGTCAATTAAATCTCATAACAGTCACTGGGTGATTGTGATTGCCCACTGAAGGGCCATCATAACAATTTGTTTGGGGACCACCTAGATAATAAGGGTCATATATAATTAATTAAACAGGACTGCAAATGTTAATGAAGATTAATTAATAGTTTGTCAATGAACATAATGTGTTCTAATATAACACTACAAGATTCTGCTATCTGTTCCTGAACCAGAGCTTCCACATATGTGACCCGCACATGTTTAATTTGTGAATAAGTGTCAGGCTGGTATATGCAACCCTATCTATAACTTCCACATTATTGCATTTTGTCTATAATTAGCAATGGGTGAGCCAAATATCAGCTCAAATTCAAATCAGAATAAACACAAAAAGCTAATAAACATCAAATACGCAAATTGATATATCTCATCCTAATCTTGTCTGCATCTCACTTCTCTTATATAACCCCATCTTTGTCTACATCTTTGTCATGTTACATCTGTCACATCGCTCTCATCTCACTGTCATCTCTGTCTCTTTTCTATATGTATCTCTTCTGTCATCTCACTTGGGGGTTTAAAAACCAAAAGCCCCCCCCCCCAGAAAAATATAACCGATAGGGCCCCCAATGACCAGCGCCACCACTGCCCATGACACGTCGTTGGGAGGGCTTGATGAGATCAATAAACACTCAAAAGGCTATTTTAAGATCAATAGCTGTTTGTAAGGCCTCTGATCTATTGGGACACTTTCTTCCATCAGATCACTGCGCATCTTTAGGGGCTGTACCCCCTGCCTGTTCACGAGGGTTGTGCCCTGTTGGGTGCTCGCAAACGCTCTGCGAGCACTCGCTGTGAGATTGTGGTTGCATGACGGCTGCCCCCTGCGTGTAACATGCAGGAGTTTACATCCCAGCTGGAGCTGATAGGAAACCTTCAGGACCTGTCCATCGCTGTGTCAGAAACATGCCATGATAAGGCCAAAGCAGGGCTGGAGCAGTGCCAAGAGGACGACGAGGAAGACGCGGTGAGTGCGGTGACACACTACACGTGAGTCGAAACCTAAATGTCACTCTCACATTTTAATAAGAACTTATTTTATGCTGTTACTTCACCTGTATGCAGAGAGGAAGTAAAGGTTAAAGTGTACTTGTGCTCAAATGAGCAATGGTGCACCTCCGATTAGCACGGTTGGCTATGTAAGGTGATTAACAAAAAGTTCAACATACATCTCCATTGGCATCCTCATTCATTATGGAGGGGCAGGATGAATATTGTAGTCTTCCTACATAGGGATAATGGACTGAGTTAACCCCCCCCCCCCCTATTTGGGTTTCAACTGGCAACCTTCCCAGTGTGAGCCATACGCTAGAGGCGAATGAGAATGACATCGGCTTTGTTGAAAGTGTACATAAAGGTGAGACATTTTTTTTGTTTGATATACATTGCAACAGTTTGCATTTTTTTATTATTCTGGGGAGGACAGCAGAAACATTACAAGAATAAAAACTTGTGGAAATTGATTGTAAACTTCAAGAGAGTTTTTTTTAAATTTACATTCACCAGAGTTGCTGATGGCCACCCACATGTGCGATGCCGGCCTTCATAGGTGCTCGCTAACAGTGCTTGCCCCAACAGTCTGTTAAGGCTATACAGGAGATCTTTGTCTGTCTCACAGATACGTTTTAACATCAGCCTGGAGGCCATGGGATGCCCCATAATGCAGCCACACCGCACTCTCGTCGTAAAGCCGCGTGGGTTCTTGCACTCTCTGCTGCTGTCCGTGCATATCACGTGCAGTGACGACCCATGTGATCAGACGCCTCCACCCAGTTACAGCGCCAATATAGGAGCCTTGACAGCACAAGTGGGGGCCAGATTGATCACCCAGGAGTTGGAAAGGGGAAACTGTAGCCCGACGACAAAGGACGGCTCGGAGAAGCCCGACAGCAACGAGGAGCAGCTGTCCAGGGACAGCGGTGGATGACCAACGTGCAGATGTAAACTGTCCAGCTTCCAGCGGGCTCTTGTGTTCAGGTCAGTCTCTCCACTTCCACTGATGATCTCTCTCCCTCGTGACTGGAAGATGGGAGAGATGGCTTTTCGTTGGTCACGAGTAGTTGCATGTCACTGTCAGCATCATAGTTCACATGCCAAGCATTGTAGATTTGTTTAGTGTAGGATGATCAGACTTCCACATTTCGTAGACTTGGTGCTTCCACTCCACTGTGGACTTCCCATATAATTTCCCCCATTCTATTTAAGCCTACAATTTTGGGAAGTATTCATAGGGCACAGTATTTATTCCTAATTAGGTATACGGACCACAGTTACTGAGCTTAAGGCAGCATTATCCACACATTGTCGTGGTAGATATAGTATCAATATCCCATCATCTATATTTCCTTAAGTCTAGAAATCAAAGTGGGGTTTTGCTGAACCACCAAGAAAATCACGGTGGGATATTAATATTTCATAGTTAACGTGTGTCTAAAATATTTTACATGTATTAAGCTTATGCTCATGGTATGGTCCTTTTCAATGCTATGTAATCCCTGCAACGTCTTAAGTTAATTCTGCTTTGTTTGGAATTACGTGGTGATGGACCTATTGGCTTTGTATCGCACATTAGATGGTCGTGTTTTTATTACTTAGAGAGTTACGAAGACACACGGAGACAAACAGAAACTTCAATTTGCGTGCATCCAATCATATTTGTAATTGTTTATATCATTTTAATATGACACACCAGTAATGGTCATTGATATTGCACCTACCTTTCCCATTTGCATGATTGTATCATTGTTTAATACACCTTATTTAAGTCTGTATGATGGGCTATGTAATGTACAACTATGCTGCAGCCCTCTTCAGTTTGATAAATTTAGAACCAAGAGGCTCCAACAAACAGATAAATAGTGTCTTGGAAGTCGGTAATGAAGCTATAGTGACCAGAGGCGCTGTGAACAATGTGACCTCGGAACATTTGAGATGCGGGGATCATGAACTAAACTATTAACTTTTTTTTACCACGTAAGGCCCACTGAGCTAATTATCTATTTTTCAGAACCGACCTGGCCACAAATGATAGTTCAACGAAGTGGCTTATTAACTGGAAATGTATAACAGCCAAATACTATAAACGCATGTTTATAAATGTGGAGGTAAAAAACGGGAGGATCCCAGGGAAAAATCCATGCAACCATGGGGAGAACACGCAAACTCCAAAGATACAGGCATCAGGTTTGGGATCGAACCCACGACCTCCTGTATACCCAGGTTGTGGTTTCCCAGGTGATTCCAAATGCACATAGTGACATCTCTCCGACTATAAATGTGTGAAACATCTCAGTGCACCAGTTTAAATTGATTAAATATACACCACAATAAAAATCTACAATCACCAACTTATAATCCAATCAAGGTTGCACAAATCAATTGTACTTTGCCCACACGACAACCCTTAAATCAATTTACCTAATGCCTGTACTTAACATTTTCCACCTTCAAGTAAATGGTCATGAATGGCAAATGTTGAATATTTTATTTTGGGATACTGTATTCAAATTTCTAACCAGGCAGTGCAGTTTTATTGTCTCTTATGATTATGTGCATTGGCATGGTCCAATCATTTGTGGGGCATGTTATGTGCTTGCCTTGGATACATTGATGTAATTTTAACCCAAAATGCCCAGGTTTCCCTGTACTGCATTACACTGTGTGTGATGGGATAATGCTTCCAGGTCAAGCTGACAATTGGATCAATGCAGATTAAGGACAGGGATTGCTACAGGATATCAGTTGTCCATTCAGAGTAGCTATTCTCTCTTGACTTAAAGCTCAGTTTGTACCCATCTGCTCGGTTAAAATTGTGTTTGCGTCTATATATATGGATGACTTCATGAACGAATCTTGTTGATAGCCAGTGGGCTTGCAAATTAAAACAATGATCAGCCACGGCCGAGATATTAGTCCTACCGTGTTTCAGATTTGCCTTACGTTCACGAACACGGTCCGAGACATCGTAGTTTCTTATTTTCTTTGAACCTATCTACGTGATTTTACCAAAATACCCAACAAATACCTGTTTTCTGTTATACAATTTCATACATACGTTTTTACGACCAATTTCATTATTCATACTTCTTTTTGCTATTTAAGGGAATATATGTGATACAACTTGAATATACGACTTATTCATACCATCACAAATAACGCAACCTGACCAATTCCATTATTACATTGCCAGATAACAAAATATAAGTCGGATAATACAGGGTGCTTCAAAAAATGTTAACACTTACATGGGACTATCGTTTTTAATGGAAAATAACGGATAATATACTGTAACATGATAACAAATGTATATTAATAGCTTCAAAAAGTCAAAGATACTCCACTTGTTCGCCATTATTGTCAACAGATGCCTGGAATCTTCTCCAGGTGGTCTCCAGAGCCCGGAGGTACATTTATTGTGGTATTGTTGCAAATTCTCAGAAGTGTTAAAAACAAATTTAAGCACCCTGTATTTTAGGAATTTTCAGATGTTGAGCGATGGTGCCATAGTTTGGACACTCAGCTGATAATGCATGACTCACATTAGTGACGAGTGGTGTCTGAACCAGACATTGGCCCCTCTTTCTCCAAACTGCACTGACCAGCCTGGTAAAACATGGCCAAGCGACCGCCATGACTGAATGGCATGGGGAGGTCTTCATCCAGCATCGGGTAGACCAATGGCTGTAAATGATTATTATTATGACTGTATTTGAATAAAAATACGAGTGTGCTATTTAAAAATATATTTTTAGTAAATGCAGATATATGTATTTATCTTTGAAAGCCTTTAATTTTAAGAGGATTCTGCTATGAATGTGTGGCTAGTCACTTAAATAGTAGTTTCACGTGTGGTGGGAACTATTAATTCCTGCATAAATCCTATGCATATGTGGGATAGCACTCAAACTTAGCAAATAAATGTTAGAAAGTTCCTTGCTGTATTGCCATCTACAGGCTCGATTACAGATGCATGCTGGCATGACGTGTGGGTGGTGTGTAGGCCGGGGAGTGTGCCACATCGGAAGGTGCCAGTGCCACGAGGGCTGGATTGGGGACGCTTGTCAGAGAGCCTGGAGCCCTGCTCGTGGCAGATCAAGCAGCTCTTCGGATGCCATTCCGCTCTGTCCATCCATCACTGATGCTTGCAGGTGCCACATGTATGGTCTCTTTACTAGACGTCATTGCCAAGTGGAGCTGGGTAATTCCTGAAGGAAATGTGTTCCATTTCAATGATATCACCATGGTTGATTCCTGGAGGAATCAACATATTTGTATGGGCGATTTTACATTTGAATGGGATTCTTGCCATGGAAGGCTAGTGTCATGGAATTATATTCTTTTGCAATTTCGTTGCAAATATAGCTCATGGTGTATATATTACAGGTGGTCACGACCACCAGTCAAATGCATTGCCGATACCTCGTGCACGGAATTTGTCCAAATTCCTCCCTGATTCCGGCATGGCAAACAAGATGGGAGGGCCGGTGGGCCTTGGACAACTGAGTGGAGGCCAATATGTGCACACTGCTTATGCATGCTCATGGGGGACTGGGATGCATTGAGTAGCAAGGTGTTTTGCCAATAATATATACACACGTAGCTGCCCTGGGTAAATGCTTGGGCGATTCTTGTCGATACCATTTAGCTGGTATATTGGGTTCAATTCCGTCTTTGCCTGAAGGCCACATTGGATCAAGGAGGAATCGGGCCAGGTTTTTGCACGAGGCATCGGCCACACAAGGGCACTGCTATGGAAAGTTGTTAACTACCTCGCCTGGTATGCAGGAGGTTGTGTTTTCCCCGTTGTTCGCATGGATTTGTCTCCGGGTCCTCCGACTTTTCCCTCCGCATTTAGAAACATGTTGCTTCTGAAAACGAGCTACATAGCTCAGTGGGCCTTGCCTGGTAAAATAAAAATGTTGATAGTTATTTCAATGGCAATTTCACAAGGCCAGCTCGGCCTAAGGGCCCTCCCGTCTTGCCTAAACTCCATGAGAGACTCTGTCTATATTGCCCACAATTCCTCCATTCCCATGATCCTATTCACACTCCTTTATAATTCTAAGAATGGAATCACATTTCCAAGCTATGAATTGTGAAAATCACTCAACGCTTTAGTTATGTATGTTGAACGTCTTTCCACCGTATCAAAGTAGGATGCCTCTCAAAAGCAATTACATGCTATTTTTATTATTCTTAACTATCAAAGCAATTTTGACACCAGGCAATGTACAAGTTGAAATATACTTCTCTTAGATAGTAATTTCACTTCAGTGTTTTCTGACTTGAAGGCAGTGCACTACTATTATAGGTTTCAAACGACCTGCGATGCTATGAGCCCCATCTACTGTAATACTGTGCAGCTCCCATAATTAATTGCTTGTTGTAACGTAGCTACGGGCCATAAAGCTCTCACCAGGTGAATGGAGAAGTGTTGGAAATCCAGGTACACAGACTTTATTTCTTTTTGCTTTCTCTGTTGCCACTAGGACCTTGAAAATAATATACCCAATTTCAAAGCAGTATATTTCACGATGGCAACATGTTACAATTACACAAAAAGTTACAAACGGTTTAATGCGTTTTCAAGTTTAACTAACCATTTTATAAATGCTCTATGTGCCCTCCACCCGCTGTACAGACAACATCGAGACGATAGTTGAATTCCTCCCAAACGCTTCTCAAAGTGTCTGCTTCCACTGAAGTCACCACTCCCATGATTCTGTTTTTGAGGTCATCTAGATTAGTCGCGAATGGTGGCACAAAAACACGGTCTTTGACGTATCCCCACAAGAAAAAGTCGCAGGGTGTGATGTCTGGGGATCTTGGGGGCCAAGAGTGTAGCGCCAAGTCTTGGGGTCCCCTGCGACCTATCCAACGTTGAGGCAGTGTGTCTTGCGAATGACTGAGGCTAGGGGCTGTTTGTGCGATGGGAGAGGCATCTAGCAGGAATCATTTGAAACTCTATGCCCCGCCCTTTCAAGTGGTAAGAGTTTCATTCATGGGCGGTTCGTGGTTGTAGAGATATAGCGATTTCAAATCGGGTCCATCTATTTAAACACCCTGAAAATTGCTGCTAATTGTTATACAGTAGAGTAAAATACCAGTGTAGCTCTGCTCAACACCATTATCTAAACAACATTAGTATAACCCTTAATATACATAACATGTAATTCTTAATTTCTACAGGATTTGTATAGAATATTACAGAGGAATACATTGGAAAAGTCATGGTCAAGCTGAACATTCAATGGAAGACAGCTCCCTTGACATTGTGCTTGTCTTAAAGCGCCTTTCTAATAATGAATTAGTCACAAGCTCGTTCCATGGGCAATTTAACCCCTGATCATGGGTAATCCGTCCTCTGAAAGGGGAGCTTATGAAATGACCTGGTCTCGTGACCCTAAACTCGAGTGTTAGACAAAATCTTGATGGCTTCGAGAGAGTCAATTTGTGCATTATTCATCCAAATACCGCTCTTAGTCGTCTTGAACAAAGCGTAAATAATAAATAACAACCATACATGGTGATTGTTGTCATGACAACACAATTACGCATTACTTGCAGCTATTATAATTGAATAACACTGTCTCGGCCTCGCTGTGCGCTGCGTTGCACCACTATCCGAGTAGATAACCTTGCATTCAATAAACCTTCAGAGTCCGGGTGAACTTCCGACTCCAAACGTATTTAATGAATTGAACGAGGTAAAACTGATGGAAAAACACAGCACAAATACAGCATCTGTTAATACTTGGAATATCAATACAATGAATGAACATTACAGCATCATAACATTGTCTTAGATAACATGAAACTCAACAATACATCCTGGATGGACCAGGCATCTACATTAGTGCTGAATAGCTATACAAGAGAATAAGCTACTGTGTTAAATAAGGGCACATCGTGTAATCACCATACTGCAGCCTAAACTGAACTGTGGGTGAGATATTTTGTCATCCTTGCTCTCAATAAGGTTACATGGGTACAAGTCTGACTCGGCTTTTTCAATTACAAAGTAACATTCACAATAATGCAAGTGGCAGGCTTCGTTGTTAACTAGGCCTCATATTTATCATAACAATTTAACAGCATTTCAAGGCATTTACAGCATTATAACGGCCATTCTAACATTATAACAGCATTCCCAGTATTATAAGAACATAAACGAACTTACAACAATGCTTCTTAAAGTCCCACAATGAACAGATGCACCTGTCTTCACTGAGACGCTATTTGTGCCTCCATTTTGTACTCTGTGTAATGGCTGACACCCTGCCACGTGGCTTAGAGGATGTTAAATCGTAACTTCCTGGTCACGTGACCAAACTCAACATCAATACAGGAAGTTCCTGTGTACGCACACCCCCACACCTGCCGTGAGGCAGAACACACACTGTGATGACATTTGTTAGCATTTTTTGTAGGAACAGTGCCTACAGACTGCCATTCATGAATGGCAGTGAGTGTCCTGGTATGTGAATGATAGCACGTGTCTTATTAGACATGATATTGACGTTTTCCACTGTGAATCACTCAACATGGTTTAGAATAATAATATATTCATATTTACTGACAAAAAGTTTCACTGAGTCTCAAGAGCCATTTTACAGGAGGGTCCAGCTCTGGATACTGGGCCGATTCCGTTTTGTACATTTTGGAGAAAACCCAGAGGGTCCAGAAAATAAAAGGTCATGCATACAAGGAAACATTACTCAAACACCAAAGTGAGAAGTCAGCAACCAACTTACTACACTGCCTTCCTACAGACACGTCATTGGCCCTGCAGATGGGCATCTCATGCACGTACGGAAATTTCTGGATTACAGGAATGCGCCACCATGCCCATTTTGTAGTGGAAAGATTGCATGCCGCCAGCTTTGTGTTTGACATGTGATAACGGCACATAAGCGGCCATCACTCAAGACAAAATCGCTTGACTTTAGATGGCCTCAGAACACAGACATATCTAGGCCTCCGTTGAAAGGTTGCTCAGTGACTAAACTATTGTCCATCATTTAGGCTGCATTGTTGGTCACTGCAATGCATGCGCTTGCGGGAAAACTTGGGTTTTTATTATTTTCAGAGCCGAGGGGTGGCTTTTGGAATTATATTTTTCCCATATATGCTTGCTGCTGGCATTTAACACTACGCGAAGCTCCATTCCATCAAAATAAGTCGCCCGATTGACAGTAAAGTGACAAATGTGGCAGTGAAAGCTCCAGAACCAGACATTGCTGGATTTCCCTCTGTGTTTTTTTCATCAATACGCTTCCTCCTCTACCTTAAGTGAGGTTGCCAGATGTGGTTCTGCGAGAGGACAATACGTTTTCCTCTGTCTCAAGTACCCTCACACACAGATTTACACCCCTGAGCTGCGTGCAGTCAAATCAACTTCATCACCAACCAACAATGAACATCAAAGCGTCGTTCCCAGGTTGTACAAGAACCCGGGGGGCCATTCCTTGTTCCAATAAAATTGCTCTTGGGGAAAATGACACGGACAGCAAAATAACAATGATGTAATGATATCGTGGAACGCAGTGCACCATTTCCTCCTCTCCACCTGTGGATATCCTTCCCCGTCGAGGGCACGGTGAGTGGCTCCAATCAATCAAGGCCCGCACGCGCGTGCCGATGCTATAGGACAGCGGTCGGGAACCTATGGCTCGCGAGCCATATATGGCTCTTCCAGTGACGGCATATGGCTCCCAGGCAATTTTGAGTTGAAAAAATAAATAAAAATCAGTTTGGAACTGATTTTAAAATACTTGTGATATTGCTTAATAATACTGTGTCATTTTAAAGTAAACAGAAATTCGTTTTGAAGATAAATTTCACGGGTCACGCCTGCATGAAGCTCAACCTCACCACGTATGAACCAGACTACAAAGCCATCAGCAAAACCATGCAGCACCAGAAGTCGCATTAAAAGTAAGACATATTTAATTTATTATACGTTAAAAATACTGTATGGCTCTCAATGAAATATATTTAGAAAAATTTGGCTTTTATGGCTTTCCCAGTCAAAAAGGTTCCCGACCCCTGCTATAGGACGTCAACACGTGGATGAGTGCTGAAACGGTCCGTGGCGCCAGAGCCGCCACAAACTCTCGCGAATGAGGTGTGAGGACGAGGCACGGAGTGCCCCACCAGCCAAGACAGCCGTCTCCCCACTGGCGTCACGGTGATTGACCGCGGGTTATCAAACGCATGCAGCAGCAGCAGCAGAAGCAGCCACGCCGTGCAGAGAGAGAGAGAGAGCGAGGAGGGAGGGGGGGGGTGCGCCTCGGATCGAGGCGCACACGCGCAGTTCATTAAAGCGAGCGGTTGACGTGAGGACAACGAGAGCTGAGGTTTCGGTGGAAGAGAGGGCAGGGGAGGATTAAATAAATAAAGCATTGCTCATTTGCACTGTACAGTGCATTTAAAAAGGATCCTGAGAATCACCATCTGTGCAGTGGTATTAAATATGCATTGGACGTGTCGACGAGAGCATGTGCGTGCAGATAGATGCGACCGCGTGTGCACGTGTCCATACATTTTCTTGGTTCTTTCGGTAAAGTAACGTGGAAGGGAAATAATACAATAATAAAAAATATTTTTTTATATATATATAAATAAATAAAATTCTTTTTTTTTTTTATTGTATTTCCCTTCTACGTGACTTTACCGAAAGAACCAAGAATATGAATCCCTGCAGTCACGAAAGCTTTAAATGTCCATACATTGTTTGCATATTGGTGATGGATATCCACAAATCACGCCATCGTGTATCATATCTCGATTTGGAAAATTGCCTAGCAATGTAATGAGCAATTAAATAACCGAAGTCACGTTCCAACGACTTAACAGATCTTTGAATCTGCTGTTTTTTGTTTAGTTTGCTGTCTTTCCCCCGCAACTCCGATTAGCACGGTTGGCTACATACGGTGCGGTGCGAAAGAAGTTCGACGTACATACACGGTCAAGAAAGACGGTAATTGCTCGTTAAATTATTTGCAATTCATACATACTTATTTCACTGTATTTGGTCGAAAAGTAAAGCCGCAACATCATCGTTTGTTGTCGAAACTCGGCGTGAAGAGTTTGCACGCATCGTGTGATAATTAATATGGGGAAAACACACGCATTGGCCCCTTTAATAATTCACACATGTAGCAGAAAAATCAACATACCCCCCCCCCCATTCACTCTCCACCCACCGGCCCATGTCGCCTGCGCACACACCACCTCTCGACACGGCCGCCGTCACCGGCCCCGCGGTCTCATCAACTTCCCATATCCTGCGCACATGTGCATGGAGGGAGAAAGCCCCATTGGACGATTTGACGGTGCTTTGAATTGGACATCTGTAAAAGCGCTGGACATCTGTGAAAAAGAGCTTCATAGCTCATAGGATTCCTCCAGGAGCAATAAAGATGATGAATTACATTCGAGCCTACTTAGCATTGTCCGTGTTCACATGCTTTGGGGTTGGGGCCAGATTTTGGCAAAGTTTACTTGAATGGGTGCCATTCCAATTCAGGTTACGAAATGGCAAAGGACATTTGTTGAAGCCTGATCATTTGAATTATGCAATATTATTGGTGTAGAATGATATACATTCATTAATTCCCACACCTCCAATTAGCACGGTGCGAAAAGAAGTTCAGCATACTTACATATCCATTATAGTCACAGTGTGTGTCAAAATTATACATGTGTCTCCATGCTCAAGCCGTCTTTGTTGGTGGCTGAGCCACATTTCAATTGTGGAGGCCAATATTTCCATAGAATAACGAGTGTTAACTTCGTAAAAAAAAAGTGCTACTCGTTTTATGCACATAGGAGGGATAATTGGCGATGTTAATTATCCTTGACTGAAAGCTTTCGTGGCTGCAGGAATTCATACTCTGGGTCTTTCGGTAAAGTCACGTAGATAGAAGAAATATTATAAAATAATAATAAAAATCACGACGTTTCGATCGAAACACAAGCAATCGTCTTCAGGTGAAAAATGCAGCAAGCGGACTGCGGAGGCGATTGAAACGTCGTGAATTTTTTGTTATTTTTCTATCTACGTGACTTTACCGAAAGACCCAAAGAATATAATTATCCTTGACCAGGATTTGACCTCCCAGCCTTCAAATTGTGAAGTCGTGTACGCTTTCACAGCTCCTCCCAGTTGACTTTGTGCAGACACGTGCTCTATTAAAATAATCACATTAACATATGGACAACACTAATTTTCGCTTGTAGAAGCGTTATTTTGTTTATTCACCTGTTCTCACAATCAACTATTCTTACCTCTACTCCTCTCTACGCTCCAGTGTCACGCACCATGACATGCATTGTCCAGTCATCTAAATCACTTAGTCTAAATGGCCGTCATTTCAATTCCATTTTCACCAACGTCCAGCAGCAGGAAACTGTTTCAAATCAACGCAAACAGATTCTCAACATTACTTTTATCACAAGCAAGCCCCACTGTGTTCATGCAGTGTGAGTTCACTCAACCCCAAAGTCCACCAAGAGCAGCAGCTACATGCGTGAAATAACGTGTGCTTTTTCATGTGAAAGTCTCGGTTTTGTAGACGTGGAATGTTGGCCAGTCGAGGGTTTCTGTTTATGGCACTAAAATAAATATTCCATCGTCCCCCTACCCTGCTGTAAAGTATTACTAGATAAGTTTGAAATCGAATAGATTTATTTTTTCCTCCATGCAATCACTCTAAGCTGCCAACAACGTGACCTACATGTGTCAGAGTACCATAGTTTCACACATTCACAAGAAGATAACACTTAGTCATACAGAAACTCCAATTCGACATATTTCACAATCAACTTTACTCGCTTTGCCTTATTGAGGCCGCAGCAGTGCTTCTACTAAGCCAGCCAAACGGCACACATCTCAGGGATTTCCTTCCAACCTACTCGTGTTGCGAAAGTCATTCTTCTCTGAGTTTTTTTTTTATTTTGCTATCAATTTGTCGAGGTACAAAGTGCTCAGTGGAGCTTGCCCTGCACACACAGTGGCCGGCTGTTTCTCGCGAGCTTCGTCGCATCGGTGACGGCCGGTGGCACGCGGCTTGACGGGGTGCTCCGCTCGGGGGGTGCTGCGCGCGATCGCTTTACACTCGCCCCCCCCCCCCCCCCATGGGCCCTCCTCGGCCACTCGGAGCCAGCGGCTTGCATGAGACATCAGAGCCGTCGTGAGTTCCGTTTGCCTGGCCGAGCCGTAGGATTGTTACTGGAGCCCCCCCCCCCCCCCCCCGACCGCCTCCTCCACCCCGTCTCCCATTCATGGGTAGATTACTCTATTCGTGCCTTGGGCATGAGCCTATTAGTTTGTTATTTGTTTTTTTCACGTATAGTATATGCACAGTGGTCACGCATCTTATTAGTTGCACCTCCGATGAGGACGGCTGGCTACGTACGACGCAAACGAAGTTCAACATACATACATGCATGCATACAGTCATTGGTTTGCTTTATTAAACCATCCAGATGTATTATTTTTCAGTGAAAGTCCTCTTTTGTATACTCACAGTAGTGTTTAGCCACCTGGATGACGTTGTGCGGACATGCGAAATGAACACTGCGTGAACTTGACACAGGAATTTGGCATTTCTACGACTGATTTAGCACCGTATATTTTTCACTTGAGTAAGGAGACTGATTTAGCAATATTCTATTTCAGGGCTTAGACTACCACAGCACGTAGTCCTCCTGCAAATAATGTCAAGGTGAAGGTCAAAAGTCATTGTCTCCCATCGCCAAGACAACCTTTTGGAGTTACCATGGCACAGGGTTTTATTGTCCTCAGCTGTCCACACCTTTGATAATTCAGATAAAACCTTACAAAATGCTTGTGGGAAATCATCAACTGTTCCCTGTTAAGAAACATGCAAATCAAATCCCATGAATGGCTGGCTCACAGTGTTGCCAATTTTCGATTTAAAGCTTTCGTGACTGCAGGGATTCATCTTCTTGGTTCTTTCGGTAAAGTCACGTAGAAGGGAAGTAATAAAAGAATAAAAATAAATTATTTTATTATGTTTTATTTTTATTATTTTATTACTTCCCTTCTACGTGACTTTACCGAAAGAACCAAGAAAGTGTTGCTAATCTTGAACATTTTCTCCATTGCATTGAAAAGAAAGTTAATTTTATGATCTTCTGTGGAACCAGACTGCACAATGGCTGTTCGTGGCTTGAAATGGAAAATGGCTTTGCAGGCATCATGGGCCACAACACATACTAATGATGTTGTATTGATAGGCTAGGCTCATCACAAGCACTCAAGCTTGGAATGAGGCAGTCTGTTCGTGGGATTCAGAGTTCCACTCTTTGATATTTCTTACTTTTCTGGATCATTAAGCAGCATCTTCCTTGGCTTAAATGTATTGATGCATCTGTTCCACGATGTTCACCATTGTCTTGTTATTTGCTTTATTAATGAAAGCTTAACCACTGAGTTTTACACTGTTATCAATAATACAAAATTCTGCAATGATGTGTTTCCAGCCATTTGTCCACAACTACAGTATATGGCGTTGTAAAGCTACATTTGTGTGAAAAATATCAATGGAGAGTGTTCCCATGCATGCAAGGGTTAGTATGAACTGATACCTTTATACAAGGGATCATGTTTGCAATGACAACACAACACAAGCAGTCAAAATGCAAACAAAAATAAACTATGATAATGATATGCACTGTCCTTGAAGTTGATTGGTCCACACCCGAGACAGCTTTTCTTAGAGCCTAGTCTCCATTGGTGTTGGACCAGATGACGTCATTATCATTATCAGAGTTGTTTTCTTTTTGTTTGCATTTTGACTGCTTGTGTTGTGGTTATTGCAAACATGATCCCTTGTATAAAGGTATCAGTTTTTGTACCAGTTGAAAGGGTAAAAACCTATTACTATATTTTGCCACTGGTAAAGGAGATGTCTCATAGTGGTTAGTATGAAACCAACCTTCCCTAGCCGCTTCTAGTTGCCGTTTTTGTGCATGCAGGGACTGTGTGGAATGCGGGCTGGAGAAGCGGGAGGTGCTATGTGCACGGAGTGTGAAAATCACCTTCTTGGACCATCTATCTGGTGAATAGAAATTCCTGATTGTGTACATTTGTGTCTTTGTGTGTGGTGAGGCGTAATTGTTCAGTCGTGTGTGCACTGCGCTGCAAACCCACGCTCTGGGTTCGATTCCTGGCTATGGACATTATTAGTGCCAAGTGGTGACTGGATTTGTCCTGGGCCTCCCCTAGATCAACTCAGCCTTAAGTACGCATCTGGGGCAGGAAGTAACATCAGCACTGGGGAGAGTAGAGGAAATAAAATACCCCCCTCAAAATATATATTTAATATATAACATGTAAAATAGAATTTAAGCGTTCATTTTATTGTATTTAACATTATAATGTAATAATCAAAGACAACTATCTGATTCAATTATTCATGCGATTATATGCCCCATAGGAAAACAGATGTGACACATTCTCTTTTGCCGGCTTCTTCCATGGATCCTATCCCCGATCGGGGTTAGAGGGTGACCCACATGCATTCCCTGATTTTCTGCTTCTGCATATCAGTGGAGATAATGTCATCTACCCACATCCTGGTACACAATTCAATATCTATCTTACAATTTTTGGCAGCAAAATTTCACCACATAATAGTGAGTGGGAAGGTGATTTACATTTCAATATAGAGCTCACGACGTCGCAATATGCCACCACAAACGGTGGAAAATAGACAAACTTGGAATAAAATAGAAGGGAAATGAAAATTCGCTCTCTGCCTTTGAATTTTTTTTAAAGGCAGCTCTCTGTCTCTCTCCCTCCCTCTCTCGCTCTCTCTCTCTGCCACAGGCACAGCACACCATGCTATAACAATCCCTGCCCAAGAGTGAATCAGAAATACCGCAGGCCACAGTTCTGATGCGACACCTGCACAGTATTGCCAAAGTAAATAGCTATCTCTCAATGCTGAACAGTAATGTCTTATGCTATGAAAGTTTTGAATGAATGAAATATGAATGCACATATGTGAACGATGACAGTGGAAGATGGCACACACCGCTCCGCTCATGGCTAACGTGTCCCGATGGCACCACCCTCTTGCAGGATGTGCATGGCCCGTGCCCTGGTTACGCACATTCACGGCTGTGTGCGCTGGTGTCGTGGCACTGGGGTTGCTTCCCTTCTGCATCTGGAAAACTGTGGTCACGATCGTGGACTGCAGGAGGACACCGTGGACGAGACAGCCGGTGAGGCGAGCCCTGTCCTTCGTCGGCATTGAGGAGTGTGAAGGCAGTGTGGGACATCTTGAACAATGTCAGTCAGTGTCTCCGTACAGTTATTGTTGGGAGGGGATCATCCGTTTTAGCTGTCCTGAGCTCAGGGTTAAATGTTCACATTGATTTGGCAGAGGACAGTCTCTCCATAGGGCAGCCTTAATTTAAATAAGTATAACCCGTAAAAAAAAGTTTTTCACTCTAAATCCTTTATATGCGTGGCGGCTAGAGTCCTCTCGTCCTCTGGCTTGAGATGGCTGCCACCTATGGGTCAGATGATTGTCTGCAGTATTAAACAATTGGTAATTAAATAGTTAATTTGTTTTCCCTAAACAGTGTAAAATTTTGGAAAAAATTTTCACGAACATTAATTGTCTCGCACAACGAGTCTGTGTGCAAAATGTCAGCTCGATTGGATCACGGGAAGTGGGTTAAAAAATGACCGAAAGGTTTGCACGGTCGTAAGCAAGCAAGCAAGCACGCAAGCAAGCGAACTTAATATAAAGGATTTAAAAATAGTGAAACTCGCACAGTTTTTATCGTAGTGAAAGTTGGCCAAGAGGCTCCCCAGGCCTAATGCCACATCAGAGCACCGAGTCACCACAGCTAACATCCAGGGTTCGAACCCAGGCACACAGCCATTATTAAGTGTAGCAAGTTGACCTCGACCCAGTCACCCTGACTGTATAAATTCTAGATTTGAAGCTTTCGTGACTGCAAGGATTCATACTCTTTGGTTCTTTCGGTAAAGTCACGTAGCTTTCCCACCTGATGATGGACGCTTGTGTTGCGCCCGAAACGTCGTGATTTATTTTATTTTATTCCTACGTGACTTTACCGAAAGAACCAAAGAGTATAATTTTACTTGTTTGAGTAAAATAATTCATGCGGTCTTATGTTGAACCTGTCAACAGATCATTTTAGGTTGGTTCACAAATATATTATTTAATACATAAACATACACTGTGTATTTATAATACACGTGTTAATAGCCTGACCCCTATGGGTGCAGGCAGACATAACCATATTGTAAAATGCTTAACACACGATATCAGGCTTCATGCTTGACGGACCAGAGAACATTCTGCAGCAATCAGGCCACCATCAGAGAATTCAGGTTTTTGTTTGTAATTGAATCCACCCAAGTCAGCCGACTATTGAGAGTCGCTGTGTGGCTTAGAGGTTAAGAAACCGTCCTCTCTTGTTTGATGCTGACTGAACTATGGCTCACCATAACCTAATAGTAATAACAATTTGTCACTGCAATTTCACTGCATTAGTTCAGTCAATAACCTGCGGACATGTTACAGGTCTTTAAAACGTTTTGGCTTCATAAATTACTGAAAACATGACGGCACAGGTGACGAGGCTAACGTGTGCACAAGCTTTACCAAGCGGAACAAAGGGAATGCACTTCTTTGTGTAAAAATTCCAGCACTGAAATGTAATTAAATGTTCCATTCAAATACCAGTGGCCATACTTGCATTGCAAAGTTTGGTCATATGGCCTGTGTAAAGTTGTCAGTATTGCTGTGCTCCTGTGTAGCCGGTGTTGAGGAATTGATGTCTCCTTCCCAACTCAGTCTTGACTGTGCACCAGTGGTAGAACGGTTTACTACGACCCCAGGAAAATATTCACACAATCCCAAATCTTCACCCAGATTACATGGTGCAGAAATACCAGGCACAGTGGTCGCATGCAGCAATATCCAGCCCTGTACATGCACAGAGGGGAAATGAACACTAACCCGGTGTGTGCAGAGCAAGGATGAAAGCTACTGGACATCTGGATGAACATCACACACTCACTAACTCACAAGGTTTGCAGGCAACATATGTATGTACGTAGAACTTCTTTCACACCTTACATAGCCAACCGTGCTAATCGGAGGTGCGGGGAAAGGACAACAAACTGAACACGAAAAGCACTGTGGCCACATGCCCGTTTGGGAGGGTATGCCCACTGATTTTTTTTATAAGTCACTCTCACACCAGTTGGTGTTGGCAGCAAAAAAGGCACGAGAAGGTATATCCAGGAGTGCTGTGAACATCAATAGACTCCACACACGACACCCACGGCCTGAGTGATGAGTACAGGTATTGTGTGGGTGTGATCTCGTCATAACGCATCTGTGTTGCAGGTGCCGCCGCGAGGCAGCACAGAAACCTCAAGCACATTCAGGAACAGAACCTTCCTTCGATCGGAAATGCAGATGACCCCTGGGATTTAGGTGAGGGAGGTTGCTGTTGGTATGTTTACCAGTTGATGCTTCGTTTTTTCAAAAAGCTGTACTGTAACTTGTTTTTATATAAGTAGGGCTGCGTGTAGCATGCCAGTGCTGTTATACTTTCCGCATAATGTTTTGAGAATTCCATTGCTTCAAATGTTAGAAGTATTAAAAGTAAGTTTTAAATATATTGTGTAATTCAATTTAAAATATAATTCATGTGTGACAGAGCTAGTTTTAATGCCAACTAGCAGATATCGAAATAGTACACTTTTTTGTTACAATAAAAAAGCAGGATGGATCTAGAAACAGACATGTAGAATAAGTGAATGTTCCTTATTTACATATATACCCTTGTAACAACGTGTATGTTCAAGATATACCCTTCTAACAACGTGTATGTTTAAAAATGATGCAACACTAAACCCGTGAAAATTACGTTCTTCGGGGCAGCTATGGGTGGGGCAGGCTTAGTTCAAAGGGGTTGTGACACCTCTCCCTCGAGTGATAAACACGCCACAACAATCTGCAATGCGGCGCAGCTCACGGCTAAGACCTCTCTGCAGGGATGGCACCACCAATGCTGTCCCCCCAGGCTGCCTGTCCTGTCATGATGTATGCAACACTGATTTTGAGGCACCAGTGTTTGTTATGACCTGACCTCAGCGCTGTATATGTCTCTCAATGTCACAGACGAAATCAAGGTCAGCAGGTCATGCCAGCATAGGTTTTGCTCAGATGTGCACCATTGCGGTTGTCAAAAATACATTGAAATGTACACGTGTCCTCCTCACGGAGGTTCAGTATGTATAGGAGGAATGTCCCATTTGATACTGTTAATTTCTAGAAGGTTGTCGAATTCCTGTAGATGACACTGGTCAACATACTTTTTTCTGGCATAAGGTATTCCAACGGGTTTAAGGTAATTTTGGGGTGCTGATTCCAAATCTGGCATCAGTTTTTGTCTATCACATCAGGTTTTTGAGATATCAAATATTGCATTTTCAATAAAAACTGCAGAAGAAAAATATTAAATAAATGTGGATATCTACATACAATTATATTATAAACACACTATCCTAAAAATACAGCACCATATTTTAACACTAAAGCAGTCACTGACTCGCAACAACTTGCAATCATAAGTGACAGAGTTAATTTCGGGTAAAATCAATGAAAATGGGTTATGCCGATAGCATAAAAATGAGATGTGATAGAGCAAATCTGAGATCAGATTTGGAATCAGCACCCTGAAATTAGTCTAAAACAGCTGCAAAAGTCCAGGCCAGAAAAAAAAATTGTTGACCAGTGTGATCAGTCCCCATTGTGTCATTCACGGAGACTGCCGATGGGTTAAGCCTCAGCATGGGTGCTCTACCCCCAGGAGCCTGGATTTTTAATGGGATAAGTCCTCTGCTAGTAGTGTGAATAATTTAAACGTTCCATAAACACAGTTCTGGGCCGACTGTATATTTACAACATTGACGATGTCCAATCGGAATTGTGGCACGACAAAATGCAGAT